GGGATCTCAACCCTTGGCTTGGTGTTGTTAGCACCACGCTCAGCCAGTGAGCAAACCGGCCGTCCCTATATAGGATCCGAACCATGGCCTTGGTGTTATCAGCACCACACTCTCCCGAGTGAGCCATGGGCCGGCCCCAACTTTTAATAAAAACATTTTTTATTTTGTTTCTATTGAAAAAGAAAGGTCGGGCCGGCCCCGTGGCGCACTCAGGAGAGTGTGGCGCTGGGAGCACAGCAGTGCTCCCGCCGCGCGGGTTCGGATCCTATATAGGGATGGCCACTGAGCGCAGTGCGGCCGGTCACAATAAAGACAAAAAAAAAAGAAAAAAAGAAAAAGAAAGGCCAAAACATTCCAAGGCACTCATGCCGTGACAAAAACATCTAGTCATGCATCAATAGTTCACCCCAAAGCCTGTGGCTTATGGCCAGGAAACTATACAATAGCAGCATGTTTGGCTTTGAAGAGCATCAGACTTTTAGTTTGAACCACAATTCTTGGGCCGGCCCGTGGCTCACTCGGTAGAGTGCAGTGCTAATAACACCAAGGCCCCAGGTTCGGATCCCACAGAGGGATGGCCGGTTCGCTCACTGGCTGAGCGTGGTGCTGACAACACCAAGTCAAGGGTTAAGATCCCCTTACCGGTCATCTTTAAAAAAAAAAAAAAAAAAAAACACCTTTAGTACTGACAATATCTTTTAAATAAACCAGTTAATTTTGATGTATTTTAACATGTCTTTTGAGAAACTCCAGGGAATTTCCCAAAGCCATACTAAGCCAAAAGGTTAGGCTGTTTAATTCTGTGAAGCCTTGTCAAGCAACCAAAGGTGAACAAACAAAAAACCCAACAGAGCTGTGCCAGACACGGGACCCCCTGGTAGCCTGCAGAACAAGGGGTATCACTCAGGCTCCCATGCCGTTCCCTATAGCAGGACGGCTCATGGCAATTGGTCAAAATGCTTAACAAATATTTAATTTTATTCACCCCCAAATATATAAAATAGGGATTATTATTATCTATAGGTAAGGCATCAGGCACAGAGAGGTTAAATAACTTGAACAAAGACAAATCATACGTAAGCATCCCTCGGTACAAGGTTTCCAAAAAACCTCAGCAGGGAAATTGAATGGCTGGGCTGTGGCTCACTTGGGAGAGTGTGGTGCTGATAACACCAAGGCCACGGGTTCGGATCCCTATATAAGGATGGCCAGATGGCTGACTTGGGAGAGCATGATGCTGACAACACCAAAGTCAAGAGTTAAGATCCCCTTACCGTGGTCATCTTTAAAAAAAAAAAAAAAAAAAAAGAGGGGAATTAAAACATTCCTTTTTACCTTAATATATGATTTGCTTAATAACATAGCCTACTAAATATTTAGGCCTTATTAAATATATTTACTAAGATGGCCAATGGAAGACAAGTTTAAAGGGTCTCAAGATAAAATTCACAAACTTCTTCCTTAATCAGGCTGAAAATAAACTCCCCACTGTTTTTATTTACTCCTAAATCTTGTGAGATTCAGTCAGTTTGGGCCTTCAGGCCACTAAGAATTAAAATTTTTCAGAATGGGCTATCTTGTATTCTGAATTACAAAATGTTAAGACCTGATCTAACTTCTCAAGAATATATAGGTTTGTTGCACTCAGTGAATAAATGGTGATAAAATAAACTCACTCCTGTCCAGTGTGTTGGTTCTTCAGTATTATGTCTGCCCTTGACTCTCTATCCATAAAAGTGGATCTTTAGATCTCAGGCCCTGACATCATAGACCCCAGGTTATCGACAGGAATTCATCGAGCCCTGGGAATTCCTTGAGCCTCAAAGGGTGAATGATCCCCATGACATGTCTATGTCCATATGCATATTCTTCAACAGATTCTCAAAAGAGTTTTTGATCCATATATTGTTAAGAACTACTCTCCTAAGGGGAGATGGTATTTTGTATAACTACTTAAGACACATTGACAGTCTTACCACTGGTCTCTAACATATTAATGAGCCCCACTCTGTGTTCTGTCTATAATGGGACACGGTGGAGGAAATACCAAAGAAGGAGGTTCATTTGGCATTAGCTCTCTTTAAAAGAGTTTTTCAGGTCAATAGAAAGACAATTCCATACTGCTAAATAAATGAGAAAACAAGACCACATTTCATATTGTAAAGTTAAGCTGCTATAGCAAAGAGACTTAACGATAAATGAGCTTAAGGACAGTCATTTTTTTTTTTTTTTTTTAAAAGATGACCAGTGAGGGGACTTAACCCTTGATTTGGTGTTGTCAGCACCATGCTCTCCCATGTGAGCAACCGGCCATCCCTATATGGGATCTGAACCCATAGCCTTGGTGTTGTCAGCACCACACTCTCCCAAATGAGGCATGGGCCAACCCTTAAGGACAGCCATTTTCATCTCATGAAACAGATCCATTGTGATTAGTCCAGTTCTCTGGAGCTTATGATCAATTGGAAATCCTTGTTCCTTCCAAATCAATGTTCTGTCATCTCCTAGGACTTGATGTTCTCTGATTGCTCAAAACAAGATCAAGGGGCTGGCCAGTTGCTGCTGATAGCTGATAACACACCAAGGTCAAGGGTTCAGATCCCCATACCCGCCAGCGCAAAAAAAAAAAAAAAAAATCAACACCTTTATAACCGGTGGGAAGAGGAAAGAAGGCAACATAAAAAGTTTTAAAGCCTAGATCTGAGAGTGACTTTTGTAACTTCTCACGTTTGTTAGAATTGGCCACATGCTCACATCTGCTGTCAAAAAGGCCAGGAAATGTTGCCCCTGGATAGACTGCCACCTGTCCAGCTATGCCCTTATTATGATAAAATGAATAAATTTTATTGGGAAAATATCAGTCTACATCACAATAATCCCCCAAGATTCTTCACAGAATAAAACCCATTGTAAGGACACCAAAGTGACATACTGAGAGTCCTGAGAGACTACAGAAATCTTACAGTGGATAAGAGCAAGGAATGGACTAACCCACTTGAAGACTGTGCTTTTGTCTCACTTCCTGATATTTAGGGGAAACGGTGAGATTCAAGTCATGAAGACCTGGTTTCGAAAGGCCCATTCCAGCTCCTTTTGTCATATGTTGGCATGCAACCATAGTACACTCATTTGATTTAACCAAAATAAATTCGCAGTAAGTCTAAGATTATTCAACATAAAGAGCCAAAAAATAAGGACTCGGTGAACATAACTAAATATTCATAAGGGCCCCAGGTACATTATTAATAAAAGGTTCTTTTGTAGTCAAGAGAAACCACTGGAGAGCAGCTCAGAGAAGCAAAGAGCCAACAAGTTGGCCTGTCTCTCCATTCTGCTTTAAAACTCTTTGAGAGAATGCTATGTATTCCCCTTAACTGTTTGTCCCCAGTTTTACTGTCTCCCACATACTTCAAAGTTTACTACTGATTTTTATGTGCCAGCCTTCCCACTCCTGTTAAGTCCAGGAAAGCACGTTTTAGTATCTTCCGCTCGTATTAACAATGCCTCAGTAGACTAGACGCCACCTCAGGCTCTTTCCCCGCACTTTTTCCCGTAACACCAGCCTTTATCTCTTACTTCTGTGATGCATTGCGGACTTAACTGTGACCTTGCTTCACTGACCGTCACGCGGAATTTTAGCTGCAGTTGACTGTCCTAAAACGTCAGCCTGGTCATATAAGATGCATAGCATATACGGGCCGACCTGACCTTACAATTTCTGCAGTTAAAACTAGTAAACAGTAGTAAAACAACTAAACTTGAGAATCACATGTAGCTGTCTAGTACATATTCTTAACGTAGAGTTAAAAAGTGTTTTTAATACAGTGCCTCACTCTTTTAAGTGAAAGATTAAGTGGCCCTGAAAAGGGCCTTTGGTTTTGTGATAGAAAACATACTGGAAAACTAATACTCAGCCGCCAAACCCGTAGAGAGTGCGTCCCTGGCGCTTGAGCGCGTAGACCACGTCCATGGCGGTGACAGTCTTGCGCTTGGCGTGCTCCGTGTAGGTGACGGCGTCGCGGATCACGTTCTCCAGGAACACCTTGAGGACCCCGCGAGTCTCCTCGTAGATGAGGCCGGAGATGCGCTTGACGCCGCCGCGGCGGGCCAGGCGCCGGATGGCGGGCTTGGTGATGCCCTGGATGTTGTCGCGCAGGACCTTGCGGTGGCGCTTGGCGCCGCCTTTGCCTAGACCCTTTCCGCCTTTCCCCCGCCCAGACATTGCTACAACCGAGGTAAGTCTGCCAACACTGTAGCTCCGTCAGGCACACTGAGCGCCTTTATAATAACATGACGGACCTGTTTGAGAACCTCAACAGCAGGGGCGGGAACCACCGTCAATTCCCGCCCTTGTGCGTCAGAGATTGGAGGAGACCGGGAGGGGCCCAAGGCAACAGTGGAGCCTGGGGTTGGGATTTAAATAGGAGCTTCTCGTTAGGGATGGTTGTGCATGTGGGTACATATAACACTTGCAGCTATTGCGCAGCCCTGTAACACCAAGGTCATGGGTTTGGACCCCTGTAGTGGCCAGCCACCTGGGGAAAAAACAAAACAAAGCTACCAACTGGGACAAGGATTCATAGACTTTCCACGAAGAAGCCTGACACTTGTCCTCCAGATTTCCCAGAATATGAAATAATTAATCCACGCGGTTGTCCCTTATAAAACACTTTAAATATGGTTTTAAGCAAATTGTTTCTTTATTGTTTAACTTCCTAAAATTATCTTTTATTAATTGGATGTCTGGTTAAGCAGGGCTCTTCAGCATGCAGACGTGATAGTCCTACTGAGGGAACCAAAAATACATTAAGGTTACATTTTTAGAGGTCAATTCAGGTTAAAATCACTGAGGGCTGCCTTGAAAATTTATAAATATGTATATCCCAGAGCAATGAGAACCTTATCTGCTGTGAATTGAAAGTTTATGGTTTGATTATATCTTTAGTCATGGACAGTATAGCTAGCACTGTATCTGCCACCACATTCTGTTTCCCTAACCAGTTAGCATCACAGCATCCAACCAAGCTATGGAGACAGCCTGCTGTACACCCCAGCTGTGTGACCTTGGGCAAGCTATACTCAGTTCCTTAGTTTTAAATATATAAGAAATTCTAACTCATAGAGTATGTTTCTTAGGTTTAAAATAGATAATCCATGCAAAGTGCTTAGAGTAATATCTAGATTGCAAATGAGCAATCACTAAATATTAATTATTATGGTATGGTATAGTATTGTGGCTTTCAACTCCTCCCTTCAAGATTTACTCCTCTAAAGTGCTAAGTCTAAGAGAGTATCTGAATTTGCAAAAACCTAGATTTGAGAACTTGTAAAATAATAAATACTTAAATACAACTCCTCATTAGCCCCATGAGAGGAGTTCCAGGTGCTTTGGGTAGAATATTTGGCTTCTCTTCCATGATGTGTGTTGGAGCTCAGAAAACAATACACCAAATGATGGCCTCAGAAGCAGCCTGAGAGGCAAAGTTTTCCTCTGACCGTCTCCTGCCCTCCTGTCCCTGGCACCTCATTCTTCCCCAGGCTAGCCATAGAAATTAGAATTCTTCTTCCCCTAGACGAGTCACAGAAACCAGAACTCCTTTTCCCCAAAGTCATCCATAAAGCCTAAAAAGATTACTCTACCCACCCTTCCCCAATTTCTATATAACAGCTGGCCATGAAATAATTAAGACCCTCATTCCAGAGGGGTCCTACCCTATACCAGAGAGTAAGGAATGCTTCAGAGAGGCCAAAAAGAATCTGAACAGACAGGCCTTGCTGGGTTTCCCCACTCAGTCTATTAGCATTAGATCATTCCTTTCTTGTCCAATCACAGTTCTACACAGCTGTCCATTTTTCATTGAACCTAAGTATAAAAATGGATAGCTCGTCCTGGATCTTTGGGTCTTCAATCTGAAGGCTCCCATGTCATGTAAAACTATGATCAAATAAACAATGTATTATGTATGCTATTCTCTCGTTAACCTGTTTTGTTATAGGGGTGTCAGCTGTGACCCTTACGATGGGGAAAAAAGAGATCACTCCCTTTCGCCTCCACACCTGTGACGAGGACTAACTTCATCTCAGCTGTTACATGAGTTTATGGTACGTGAAAGCATATTGCAGAGTAAGGTTCATAACCTGAGATACAGAGACAGAATTCGGGGGATCTGAGAATAGGTATAGGAAAAAATTTCCATTTTCATTTTTGCTCATCTCCAATTGAACCTTAGCATTTCCTCCATTTATGAATTCAGGCAACAAACACAGTACAACTGTCAGGACATGTGCTATTATTCATATCACATTGCAAGATATCACTTAAACGTACACTCCTTCTAGACTGTAGTAAGTCTTAGTTACATGGGTAGATCTTGTTATTTAACGTATTAATAAAGAAGCATGTATGGTACTATTTAGCCAATTTAGATTTTTTATAGTTTCATAATCGTAATATAATTATTTCCTTTTGTAATTCTATGATATTATCTTTTCTTTTTTAGGCGGCTCGGCAGTACAGGGATCTAAACCTATGACCTCAGTGTTAGTAGCACCATGCTCTCTCAAGTGAGTGAACTGGCCAGCCCATTTATCCTAAGCATTTAAAAACATTCTGAGAAGGGGTCCATAAGCTTCATCAGATATACAAAAAAGTCCATTACAGAAAAATAGGTTAAGAATTACTCTTCTAGAGGTACCCAAGACTTGAAAAACTCTGGGTTTCATAAATATGCAAAGAGGAGCATTAAGAAATTCCATAAATGTTGAAATAAAAAAACATGTTAGTAACAGTAGTCTGATACAGATGTGTAAAGATAAATGGCAATGATTTTCTCCATTTATAAACGGTAAAGAGGTAAAATCACCTTCTCTATTCTTAGAGTTTTCTTGGAGAAATAGTAAGTCCAAGTTTTTACTCTACCCTTAGGAATAGAAACAAATCTTTCCACAGATTAAGCCCAGTTTCCAACTTTAACAATGTAGAGATATCCCCAAGGTCGAGGGCCAAATAACCTCTAGTCATGATTAAATGAACCTGTGGAATAAGCTTAGAAGTCTCTCACGAGATACACAGGACATTGGCACAAGGTGCTGTCCCATCTCCTAAGGAGATAAAAAAGTTATTGTTCTTTCTTCTGCTTTGCTGTATAAAATATCTGAGAGTTTGCCCTAATTTTGTATCACTTTTGTGCTACGTTATGTGTATGTAAATCTATTAATGTTTCTTCAATAATAAATTGTTCCTTCTCTCTCTTCTGTATTGGTACAGAATGGTCATTTGTTGCCAGAATAGTTTTATTTCTACAACAGGTGAGGGGGACTAAAAGCCCCATAGGTTTCACACTCCTTTATTTTACCTTAAATAGGAATACAGTTTCTAAGCATAAATTCTCTATCTAGATTAATATTAATTCTTCTTAGGAGAGGCATAATATAAGCCACTCAGTGCTCAATGGTAGAAATTAGAACAAGATACTTATTTCTTAATTGCTCTACATCTTCAGTGGTGTGTAAGGCCCCAACCAGTCAGGTGTGGCTCTCATTCAATTCAAAATAAGTAACAAGAGTCAAGCTTGTTGTTACTATATCAACAGTACTGCACAGGGTATACTGATGAAGAATACAAGCATTTAAGCAGTAGCCATGATGGCAGAATAAAGCAACAGAAGGATGTTCAGGACACTTTTGAGTTCTGTTCTGGTTTCACACAGACTCCCTATATGTGTCTGTGCAAGTTCTTTTATATAAATGTCTGTATGCAATAACTATAAGACCAATTCCATACTTTTAGTTGTTTTCAATCTACTACAAGACATAAAAGTTAACAAGTATGAAGATGACGTAAAACAGACTATAATGTCCATTAAAGAAATCAGTGTAGGAATTCAAAACAGAGAGATCTCATCCAGTTTGAATGATGGGGAGTGACATACATAAACATTTGAAAGTATGTCATTAGGTTAGTTTGAAGGATATTATCTCAGTCAGTTTTCTGTTGCTTATAACAGAATACTCGAAACTGGGTAACTTATAAAGAAACCAAATTTATTTCTTACAGATCTGAAGGCTAGGAAGTCCACTGAGGGGACACATCTGATGAGGGTCTTACTGGTAGGAAATTCCTACAGCGTCCTGAGGCTGTGCAGACTGTTACGAGATGAGGGGGCTGAGCAGACTAGCTCAGGTCTTTCTTCCTCTTCTTCTAAAGCCACCAGTCCCACCCTGGTGATAACGCATTAATTCATTCATGCAGGCAGAACCCTCATGACCCAATCACCTCTTACAGGCCCCAACTTTCAACACTGCCACGTGGGGGATTAAATTTCAACATGAGTTACACAGACGGCGAACGTTCAAACCACCAAGGTCTCTGGACCCAAAGGCTCCTGAACATTTTAACAACTGATTCCTCAACCCAAAATAAAATCAATAGAAATAAAATAATTTTTATTTTACTTTTTAGAAATAAAATAATTTTTATTTTATTTTTTAGAAATAAAATAATTTTTAAACCCATAAAGTCCAACTCTCTTTTATGTCTTTTTCTGTGTCTCCACTGACACCACCTATGGCAAATGGTTCCAACTACTATGGTCCCAACTATTATTTCGGGAGGATCATTGGTCATTGCATTTCCCATTTTCCTATAGAAATGCTGAACTCCTGATCCCCCCAGATTAACTAATCTTCCAAATAGTCACAATATGTAATTATAACACTTCTCCAGCCCCAAATAACAGATATTATCAGAAAGATCTGTTATCTTAAGTGTCCCTTAGTGGTATTATGGAGAAATGCAGAGAGCCTGTGTTTACTTCTCATATGAAACAGATTTTCTGGGTAAATTTCTATGAGAATCAACCAGTTATTGAACTTAAGAGAAGCCACAAATGTGTAGGATATTACCAGAGAGCAAACAACTGAAGACACCAAGACACAAGGGCAAGAGTTTATATTTTAAGAAAATCAAGAAATCGTCATTCTGACCTGTGAATCAGAAAGGCTGGGGCTTTTAACAAAGGCTGAGACCGACGTGTTTAAAAATACTGGAAAAACAACATACGAAGATCTCAAATCTTCAGCAGTCCCCCTTCATTGTAGAACGACATTGGCGCGATACCTTCTCAGGAAATTTTAATTATTTTTGTTTTCCAGAAATGTCACAAATACAACTCACGGACAGAGCTGAGAGTAGGTTGCAGCCAAGCTGGAAGACTGAGCTGGGAACCAATCAGAGCGCAGCATTTCCGTGTGCGTATAGCACGCACTCCCAGCTGGGCAGTTTTAACTAAGACTTTTTTAAAAACGTGTGTTTTTTTTTTTTCTTCGTGATATCCAGGTCTTCCCATGTTCGAAATCGCACCCGCCACGACCCCTGCTAGATCTCTCACGGAAAACACGTTCATAAAGAAAAAGGTCCGCAAGCCCGCAGGTGCTGCGAAGCACAAGGCATCCGAACCGCGGTGTGGGAGGCTCATCAGCAAAGCCCTAGGGACCTCCAAAGAGCGCAGCGGCGTGTCTCTCGCTGAGCTCAAGGAGCTGCTGCTGGCGACTACGACGTGGAGAACAAAAGAAAAGAGGCATCCGGCTGGGCCCTCAAAAAGCCTGGTGACCAACGGCACCCTAGTGCAGATGAAGCGTGGAGGAGCCTCGGGATCCTTCAAACTCAACAAGGCTGTGTCCGGGGAAGCCAAGCCTAAGGCCAAGAAGGCGGGCGCAGCCAAGGCCAAGACGGCTACCAGGACAGCCAAAAGGCCCAATAAAGCGACCAAGAAGCGTCACCCCGAAGAAGCGTAGTAAGACGTCAAAAACGAAAACCTTCGCGGCGGCTACTAGGTCGGAAAAAAATGCCGAAGAGCCCGAAAAATGTGAAAACAAATTAGGCTAACAAGGTGGCCCAGAACACATCTAAAAACAAAGCTCAACCACACTCAAGGTGACACCCCAAAATTAAAACTAGAGCACGTGATTAAAAGCCGCCTATTAATATTTTTAAAAAGCTTTCGAGGGGCCGGCCCGGTGGCGCACTGGGTAGTGCGCCGCTTGGGAAGCGCGGCGGCGCTCCCGTTCGAGGGTTCGGATCCCACATACAGACCGGCTCCCGCTCACTGGCTGAGCGAGGCGCGGGAAGCAACACCGAGGCTTGCGATCCCGTTGCCGGTCCCCGGTCCGGTACGGGGGCAACACTGAGGGTTGCGATCCGTTGCCGGACACGGAAAAAAAAAAAAAAAACAAAAAAAAAAAAAAAAAAAAA